GAATCAGTCGGTGATCAGCGACGAATCGCGCTCGGAACAACACACCAGTTTTTCGTGGTTTCCACCCTTTTCTCTGTAAGTGCAGTTTCCTCCGCTCCTGAGGCAATTTTCCCACCGCCGCCGCCGCGCTGGGCAACCAAGCTGCCTATTTTGCCCTTGAGACTGGCAGTCGCCGATTATCGCCGAGCCAAGCGCAACATGGCCAGGCTACCGTAGGTTCTTCCTTCTATTTTCGATGACAACGTCTTTCACTCCTACCCACTATCTGATCACAGAATTAGCGATGTGGTCGCGACGTGAGATTCTAAACCTTTTTCTCTCCCTCATTTTCTCAATGACAAATAGCTGGCGATCTTCGGCTTTAGAGAGCGACCACGCCTCAGCCATACAACATCGCCGGAAAAACGGCGGAATTAACAAGATGGGAGCGGGTTTTATTCCTGACTGTTCCCAGGAGGACATTCTTGATGAAATAGAACATCCGCCAAAAGACCCTCCTTCTTTGCTGAATCTTTCTATCTTGATCATGCCATTTGTTGATCTTTAGGTCCAGGTAAATGTATTTATCGACTGCGAGTCTTTAGCAGTTTAATATTACCTGAGTTTTCGACATGGCATCCGATCGCAACATGACTGATTCGAAGTAAGACAGCTGAACATCTTGTATCAATCTCATGAAGCATGAGATAGACAACGAAGAATTTGGGGGAGATATTTTACCTGTTTCACGCCCTTCTCCAGTAGAACCCGGAGGGGGCATCGAACAACGTAACGTTTATGAGGCAGCCACAGTTCACTTTCCTTAGCAGTCTATGTAACCGGATGTCCATGTACCGTTCTGCCAGTGCAGTCGACACTACTTTTTATTCTTCGCTGTAAAACGTTTTCTCGTAGTTGATGATGCACAGGGGGAGTTGGCACTCCCTGCAGTTGACTTAAGATAAAGATGTTAGTTGCGGTGCTGTAACTCCTCTGGAACCTTGCCTGTTCTCCTGGCTGCTGTTCGACCAGGTCTATAGAAGGTCTGTTGGTTATGATACGAGTGAAAAGCTTGTAGATTTGCAAGAACAGACTGATTGAATGATAGCTCAGATCTTTTTCGATCGCTCGTCTTGAACAGCACGATTGTTAATGACCCCGTCCAGCTTAAGAATATCTCTCCGTTTGCAGGCAAAAGCTGAAGCGTTCCTCTAAAACCCTCCATAGAGCCTGACCATCTGCTATGACCATTTCAATTATCAAACCGTCTCTCTCTGGGGCTCTTACTTCTTTTACTTGGGGCGGAGCGGGCCGAACTTCCCTCTGGCTGTTAGAGTGACGGTGGGAGGAGGTGAGTGTCACTGTCACGAAAAAGTTCTTGTAGACAGGTTGCGATTCAACTGTCAGACGTTAATCCACCATTCCCGTTCCTCATCGCCGCTATGGTCGTCTGGTCGTCGTCGACTGACAAAGCGCTAACTCAGTCTTGCATTGTTTGAGGCTTCTGCGGTTTTCGACAGCTCTCTCGAGTTTTCGCAATCGGTAGGTCTCGTGTCGGTTCCATCTGTCTTCATTCTCGCCCGCTTCTCTAACAAACTCTTTGCCTCTTATAAGATTCTTCATTTCTCTCACTTCGCACTCATGTTACCACCTCAATTCGACTTCGACGAACTTCTCGCAGTCATTGTCATTGCTGTCTTTCAGGCTACAGTCATCGCTGGAAATGCGCTCTTGGAGCACCGTCTCGTCGAATACCCTCGCGTTCAAACCCATGAACAACATACTACGTGAAAATACCACCTGAGAAACATGGACGCGTCCGTTCAACACAACAGAAGTGCCGGTAAACCTGTACGATTACGAAACATCATCGCGGAACCAATAGCAAATTGGAAGAATGTCAGCTGTCAGTTGAAGTAGGAGTTAAAGAAAGTAGTAATTTAGGGATTTCGCCTCGTGACCACATCGCAGCGCAAAAATGAGACATAAAAAGAATGGAATATGTCACCCTTAAAAACAAGGGAAACAATACGCGATAGGTAATTCGATTCACTGACAATGAAAAACAGTGGTTATAATCGAATGGTACCTACGGGATCATAAAAACCGTTTGGCCGCCCACTAAAACGAGCAGCTGATTTTATCTTTAGCTTACAAATACCTCAATAAAGGAAGGACCAAGTGAAAGAAGAGACGAGGAGGCTTGTGACCGACGCAATCTCTCTCGTTGCTGAATACATATCGATCAGGGCATCAAGGTAGCCCTTTATGTGCCACGATATACACTTGACTTTTCATTCCCTTAGTTCCGAAAGAGTCATCGGTGTTTGTGACGAAACGCGCTAATTGTCAATTAAAATCGTGCAATCGTTTGGATACCCCAACAATGTATGAAGGAAACATTCAGCTAATAAATTATGGGCCCAAAGTCATAAATAGTCCTTCAAAAAGTGTGAACGGTGATAGTTAAGGATTCACGACTAGCGTTGTTTAACCGTTTAAAACCTCATAACCGTTACCAGTGGTAACTATGAACAGAGACTTGGAACAAATAGAAAAGTAACAAGTTATACGTATATACGTACACTGAAAGCACATGCATCGTTCGGAGTGACATCCTGATTACCGATACTCTTTTTGAGGAAGAGCCACACGAGGAGAAACGCCACCAGACTGGCTACAACGGTGAACGCATACCTCAAAAGCAGCGCAGTGCGATTAGCTATTAACCATATCGAGTTACCTTATACCGTTCAGGGCGGTTCGCTCGTTATTGCATGGAGTCAATTCAGGGATCATCGCCAGATGTGCTACCTGAACAGCCGCCCAACCGAACTGGAAAAGCACGACAAACGGAATGTAGTAAATCAGCTGCACCCATTCAGCGGTCATGACCGGCTCATATGTACAACCTATGCATCTGTTGAAAATGAACGGAAACGATATGGTCACGCATATGGTACCTGAAAATCACAAAAATTGAAAACACAAACAACGAAGTAAACAACAGCCATAAATACTAAGCAATAAGTGTACCTCTGAACCCCATTATCACGTCTATTGGTTTCACAAAATAAGTTGCATGTATCGTGTTTACATCTTACGAATCATATGTACGTCTTTAATAAGCATTTGTGGCTATTTAATAATTTAATAAACAGCGCTCAACAAAAACTTTCAATAAATCCAACTTCAGCATCCAAGTTACGAAGTGGGAAACGATCAAGGCAGAGGATCATGTGCCTGCACGAACAGTAAAACGGTACTTAAAAAATGAAAAGCTAAATCCCTTACTACTCTGTGGAAGGAAGAAACATGGAACGAATGACAGACACCGGTTTCTCTTGACTTAACTACGTTGGATAGCTCAATAGTGCATAATTTCACAACGCAAACCATCGCCTCCTTGCTCATGGTTGCCTACGGGAGAGGAAGTTATATGGTTATGAGGAGGAGCTATGCGCCATTTAACATACTCCGGCATACAAAACTATTCTGAGGTAGCACTAAAGAGTACCAGTTCCTGAAGTACAATTCATGAACGCGAGGTGATTCTAGGTAACAAAACAATGCGAGATGAATCCGGCACTGCAGATGGTCAAATATCAAACAATCCCCGAACTGCTCAATGGCCTCCATCTACGGCACCTAGGGGATGGTTCAATACGCCATGAAATCTGACATTAAAGGAGTTATGCGTTATTTACTTTGTCTATATAATACTGTACATAATACATAACATTTTTTGTCATTCACAATATGGATTCGTACGATGAAACATGTTTATAAACATAAATCTTCTCTAAGACGTGGCTTCATGTCGTTATGGCACCATTTTCTTGCTCTCAGGCGTACTGAAAGCCGCAAAGTACCTTTTCTAACGATTAGACATCATAAATCTGGGCTAATCTGTTGTTTAAACTATGCCAACTTCAGATGCACTGACAAAAGAGCAACAGCCGCAAGCAAGCTACGGCTTCATGGCACTTTATTGTCATATTAAATTTGTTCTCGTGCAGTGCTTTTGAGTATAGTACTCACTACATGCTTTATCATAAGATAAAATAAAAATGTTACAATAGCATTAATAACATACGTTAATCAACTGTTGTTCTTACCGGAAGCAAAGAAAACTTCGTTCGTTAGAAAACTAAGATTTTACCTGGTCAAGATCTGCATATCCTTCAGCAATATAGTTTATAGATAGTAAAGGTTTAGTACAGAGATAGCATTCTTTATCATTATATACGTGTATGGGTGAAAATGTATCCGCGTGTGTTCGAACGTATTGTTGTCCGCTCCAATAAGTGGTGCTGCTTTGCGCACATGCACTGCAAGTGCTAAAATACAATGGAATCTAAGCCTGCTCAAACGATCCTACAGATGAATTGAAACAAAGGTGCCGGGCGAGTATTTCGTGCAAATTTCGAGGTGACAGGGTATCAATACTTAGAAATTATTTCATTAATTTATTTAATTTCCATTTTACATTTAGTGCTGATTTCGAGCCATTTATAAAGTATGCCAAGGGGGAGAATAAGACAGGTGCAGCGATGAGACAGAGGCATTAGACGGTAGAGCCATATATCGGTTGGTCGCACTGAAGCAGAGTGTGGTGAATTCCTTTCTTAAAGCAATTAGCAGTTAATGAGAAAATTTTATGACGGGTTACGATTTGAACCCGCACCACTAAAGTAAAAAAGACTATTTATCTACCAAGTCGATATTCCCTATCATACAGTTAATAAATAAATTTACAGTATTTGCGAAAGCCACTATGGAATAACACCGCATGTCGAATTTATTCTATGCAAATTCTTCAACGCTGCAACCGTCTTCAGAGACAGACATAACATAAAACAAAATATTACCGTATACAAACCAACATCATGTACTGGTTCACATGTTATTAACATATACAGTAGAGTAAAACCTATAACGGAGAAGAGTACAAGTATAATTTCGGCCCACCGGCTCTACCCAGCGGAAGGGATCACAATCACTTAAAAGTAGGCCTTTGTTCAATGGTACTCTATCGCCCTTTGTGCATAAATACATCGCAACATCGACTGACGCCCTCTGTCGAGTGAAGTTCGATGTTTGCTTTTTGAATATGAAGCATTTTCGTCAATAGCTGTTTAAAGCAAATGAATGGAAAATTACAATCTCATTTATTCATACTGTTGTACATCGGGTACGCCTACGCCCTGAAACCTCGAAACTCGAACAAATATGTGTTCTCTCGGTCAGGTGACATTTAATCATCCCAAAGGAAGCAGCATGACCTTATTTCATTACGAAAATAAGAAAAAGCGTCTACGACTGACGGCTTTGCAAAAAAATTCTATGCGTATTGAATAATTCATAAAGAACCGTGACTATGTGTATATCAGCATTTCGATGAAGAACGAGCGGCCGGCTTTGAAGAGACATCAGATCAAAGTCGACAACGGCGGCGTTTCAAACTGTCATCGTCGAATGCAATGAAGTGATTCAATCACGCCAGAAGTTGTTCATGTGAACAAGAAACGCGTAAAATTATAGCTCATAGCAATAGTACTAAGAGTAGATTGAGTATTTGATTCGTGCATTGGTGGTCATACTGTAAACAACATAAAACACGGTACTTCTACACAAACCGGTGACTGACCTGTAGCGACGTTTCGGCTAGTGTAAAAAAGGACTTTTTTAAAGTGAAGGGGTCAACGGACTTCGGAAGTCTTTCTGGTCGTTTGCATCAGTTCAGAAGTTCGGAACCAGAAGTCCTCCAAAGTTAACTCACCTCTTTACATGTTGAAGAAGGTCCAAATGTTTGCCTTATGTATAAATAAACCATATTTTACGCTGTTTCCACCAACTGTGAAAAGTGCAAAACGCAAATACACTTCGTACAGAAAAACCTGTTTACAATGAAAAATATAATTTTATCAACGAGTATCGCTATTTTCACACAACGAGTATATTTAGTCAGAACAGGACTGCTCAGTCGGTAGAGCCGGGATTCAGAACCGAGGGATTACGGGATCGAATTGCGGTCGGGTCACTCATGAGGTTTGTCAGTGTGCGCCATTCTACAGGAAGGAAACAGGATATTACACTGCTACATACCTGCTGCAGGCTTTAACTTTAAAATAAGGCATTCTTGGTGGATGACACAAAGAGTATATGGAGATCAGCCATCCGCCATTAGCTCCATGAAGAGAAGAGTGTCAGAAATCGCCCCATGATGAAAGTTAAGGAAGAGCGACATTTTAACGGCAACAAGCTTACCTCTAACTTTTTTTCAGTTATTAAATAAGTACCCGTAATACTCCTAAGCCCCAAGAGCCAGCCAAAGGCCTCAATCAAATTTCGACGTTCAACTTGGCAGCTTAGTTACTTAATCATTTTACCTTAGAATCATTTGTTTGCCTGCCGCCTCTGATAGCCAAACGTTAGTTAGAAGCATAACTTTATTAAAGAAGTATATACTAATATAAACTGTTAGTAAATCGTCAATGCGCAATGTCATTCCTGCAGATTTGCATGGCATAGTAGCGCCGTCTCTTCGCCCTACATCTAGAAGTTTAGCGTAAGGCTTAAAGAGACCACGGCTCCATGGTGCTGTAGCATCTGCAGTGCATGGGCGCGAAAATCCCTAATTATTGGCTCGAATAAACACACGTTCGAATATCAAAGATTATACCTCTGTCCATAGGCATATACACCAAAAACAAAGCCCGAGATTATTGGTTTTAGCTACGTCGAATAAATTCAAAGTAGTGACAAGAGAATGTAAAAGCTCTGTGTATCTTACCTTCATTGCGTACGCATGCATAAAGCATTTTTTAAAATTTGTTTGTGTATTAATAATTGTTACACGTTCCGCTTCGCTCCTTCAAAATTTTTTTTTGATAATTCGTATACTTTAATGACAGCATTTTTTGCCACTCATCATGCCAAAAATGATATTCACCGGTGATTCCATTCAAGCAGTAAAATATTCTTAATTCAATCAGTCAATCAATCAATCATCCATGTAGGTATTCATCGATTCATCGAGATATTTACTAGGTTGTCATCTACATATCCTTACCAATTAAATGCCAGCTTTTGCGCCGGCCGTACCAATTGCAACAGACAGCTGAGTTTACGCGATCTGACTCGATGCCGATCAACGGAGTACTGAGTGCGTCTGCCACCTGCCCCACAAGGAACACGTTGCCTGCGGAAAACGGCGAGAATAGCAGAATCTTCTTGAAGTAAACCAGTAGGTAGGTGAACCACATGCCGGCACAAACATCGTTGTAGAAATGGCCGAAACCGAAGGCAAACCGTTGGAACCATGTCAGATAGTGAAGCTCCTCTGCATCTGCCGACTGGGACTCGCTGACCGCGGAACTTGATCCTGGCGCTTGGTCGCTGCCATCTGATCGATTCATATCGACCATGTTCACCCTGAAATGAAACCTGATAAAATTCACTGTGTATGCAGCGTACAGTTACGGGTAAATGGTAACCTATAAGGTTTAAATTTTTTATTCTTACCAGGTACAATATTTTAGACTAATATGTTTAACAATGATCGAGACAATACAAGAACAGCAACCTATGAGAAACAGTTCCATAGTTGCGAACAAAAGAAACGATGACTTCGCAAGTACTGAAAAAACTGCATGCACAGGTGAAGTGTCGCGAAGTTTCTTTCCAACCCTGTCATTCGTGAAATAAAAAGTCACCACGGAATACCCAGCTACAGCAACCAATGCGCAACTCTTCTACCCCCCC